CATATATTTTATTAATATGCATACTTAATATATTGTTTTTATACACAATTTTAAAGATCTTATACATATTTTCATTAAAATTTCTTTATAATTTACTTATTGAAAGCAAAAATGCCCAAGATGAAACATTTATCTTATTGATTTCATGTATATGAGTGTCTATATCAATTCTTTGTGGTACTGAAAATGTTATTGTCTCTTCCTTCTAGGCCAATATAGTGAATTTTAAAGCTTTATTGATAGTAAATTTAGTGATTGAAAGTTTAGTAATTTAAGTCATTCTAACTATTTTTCGTTTTGAATGGATTGTTGTCACTTTTTTCACATTTTAAATGAATTGTTTCTTTTATTTTTGTGTATGGTTAATAACCGAATAACCGAACCAAACCAAACCGAAACCGATAATCACCAAACCGATAAATGTATATTATATTTGGTTTGGTTTGGTTTTGATAATTTTAAAACCGATTAAGTTGGTTTGGTTTTGGTTTTGACCAATAACCGATCCAAACCAACCCGTGAACACCCCTACATCCACCTATGGTAACACATGATGTTTTTGTGGCTTATTGACACAAATGCATATATTTAAAGGAGATAACATATTTTATATGGTTAGCTGAATCACCTAATAGATAATAAAAACACGTGCAAAAAAATTCATAATTGAACAAAAAGTATCTAATTGGAACATTTTATTAGGTGTTGAGATGTTCAATTAGAACATGTCTAGTTTGAATATCTAAATAGAATATCGTGATAAGTTTAAAAGATTGACTATATAACTAGTAAGCCTTTAAATTTTAATACCTTACATTTTGTTGTTGGGAGATGTGGAGCGAGACGATGTGTTACTATATAGTACGTCGTCAAAAACACATTCTTACAAACAAAGTAGGTCATTCGAGCTCGATTGTAGTATAACATGTTCATTGAAAATCAATAAAGATTGGGATGGAATGTTGATCTCTTCCACCTTAGTCAAATGTTTTAAGTTTAAACTCTTGATACCAAAATGAATTATGTTAAAGAATGATTTTTTGAAATAAATTTGAATTAGTCAAAACCTCGATAAGAATATTGAATAAAGTGTGGAAAGAAAAACAAATATGCCCACTGGAATTATTACTGTACAAATATGTCCGACCAAAGGACCTCTCAACGTCTTTGTTTTTTTTATAAATATAAATAACCGCGTTGATGTTTTCCTTTTTTTATATACACAGTATCAGTTGGGGAGCTCTTATCTTGTGAGTGAACATCACCCTTCCACTATCTCTCTCTCTTTCATATGTGTCACTGTCTTTCTCTGCTTTGTAGTAACACTTTCAACACTCACCAGAGAAACTAATTACTACTGTACAAACATCCTTTGTCTTCTATTGGTCCGGAGTTTCAAGAATTTCATTTCTGGGTATCATGATAAGTCACTTTCCTCTTTACTCTGCCTAAAATCCGGTGAAGTTTTCATCTTCTTGAAACACCCTTTTCAAGAAAGTGCTCTGTTCTTTGTCCTGTTTGATTAACTGTTCAAGAAAGTAAGAAAAATAAAGTTAGTGATTCTTTTTTTTTTTTTTTTTGATCATGAAAAAGGTTGTCTTTTTATGATATTCAAGAAATTAGTTAAGGGTTTTGAGAATTTCTTGAAGTTTGATTTATGATCAAGGAGGGAAAGGGGGATTTTGTTGTTTGGGGTTCTTGAGTTTGGTCTTTCTTCTCTTGCTCTGCCGATTTCTTGGAATTTTGGGTTTGTCTTGATATTTGAGAGAAAGGAGAATTATGGAGTTGCTGTGGTTTATCAAGAACCAGCAGTGAAGTGTAGGTAAGGTAGTTTTGTATGTTTACTGGTTTTCCTTTTCTTCTGAAATTTGATTTTTCACTTGTTTCTTGAATGCCAAAATATGTAATCAATTAGGTGCCTTTGTTCTCATTCTCAGTTTTTTCAGTAATGGTCAAGGGGTTTCTATGTTATGGATGGGGTCACTATCTTTTTGTTGTGTAGGGTTGGTTGCTGCTCAGCATAGTCTTTTCAATATCTTTTTTGACAGGCAAAGTTAGAGGAAGCTGCAATTGAGCTTTGAGGGCTCAAAGAAAAATGGCTTACCAGAGAAAGGGATCTGATCTGCAGCCGCAGAGGCGTATTCTGCGGACGCAGACTGCTGGTAATTTAGGGGAGTCAATGATGGACAGTGAAGTAGTGCCATCATCTTTAAGTGAAATTGCACCCATTCTTCGTGTTGCCAATGAGGTCGAGTCCAGCAACCCCAGGGTAGCTTATCTATGTAAGTGATATCTGCCAACTTTTGGTGCTGAAGAACATGAACATAGATTTTTGCTCATATTTGTTTATCATGTATATTTGTCAAAAATTTTGTTCTTAAAATATGTGGCGTATTCTGCGGACGCAGACTGCTGGTAATTTAGGGGAGTCAATGATGGACAGTGAAGTAGTGCCATCATCTTTAAGTGAAATTGCACCCATTCTTCGTGTTGCCAATGAGGTCGAGTCCAGCAACCCCAGGGTAGCTTATCTATGTAAGTGATATCTGCCAACTTTTGGTGCTGAAGAACATGAACATAGATTTTTGCTCATATTTGTTTATCATGTATATTTGTCAAAATTTTTGTTCTTAAAATATGTTAGAATTTGGCATGTAGTTTGAAATGTATGTATGGCCAAGCACACTACAGAAACTTGAGTCAATGGGAGGTTCTCTGCATTGTGTTTTTACAAATTTAGCTGTCTTTTCACTCTGCTCCTTTTGTGAGCAACTGTGAGAAATGTGGTAGAGGTGACAGGTAGGTTGAACAACTTATTTTAATATATTAAGATAAAGTTGTTCTCATGGGCTTAAAAAGGAAGTCAAGAATAACCTTTTGCCTATAATATAATATAATATAATTGAAGCTAACTATCATAATAAATACTGGATTAATCCATTTCCTGGCCGCATGATAAACTGAATGGTCAAGCTAATAGTTAGTTATCTTCTTTGTTTAATTAACATAACTCTGCTGCTCAGTAATTAGCATCTTTAGGATGCCTTTACCCTCCAATGCAACCAAAGTTCCTCTTTCCTTTGCTTTTAGTAGTGGTGGAGGATATGATACCCTGCAGATTGTGCAACTTTCTGATGCAGTTTGTCTCCTGCAATCAAATCAGGTCGATTCTATGCCTTTGAAAAAGCTCACCGGTTAGATCCAACATCAAGTGGACGTGGAGTTCGCCAGTTCAAAACTTCCCTTCTTCAACGGTTAGAAAAGGTAAACTGTTTTATACCACCACTATTGATATGCCTGCCATGGTATATGTTTAATATGGTGATGTTTCAACTTAATATTTTTTGTGTGCCGGTATTAGTCAATCATATTGGTGTGATTTAGATTTCTGTGCAGCTTTATTCTTATACTATATGGAGGGAAAAAGTGGAGAGATAGCAGTCTCCATATGCAAAGTCAGTAGCACATAAGCATATTAGTAGAACCATATGTGAACACAAAATGGAGCAATCTTTCTTGGCTTTTCCAGATGATCAAGAAAACCTTATTCCATGTGTGGTATTTAATGTAGTCACGTTCAATAGGTACAACACCTTTAACGTAAGTTATAGTTGAAGGAATAGGTAGATTAAAAGAAGATTGAGAATTGGTGATAGTGAGGAAGAAGAGATATTGAAAGCCATGAGAAGCTGTAAGTGTTTAGCCTAAGGTTACTCGCGACAAATATTTAATCTAGAAACTGTCTCCATAGTTGATTCAATTGGGTGATCATTGGACATCTGCTCATGCTATCATCCAAACTTCAGTCTTAGACATGAACAATTGGGTTGTCCACTAAAATCTTTGATCCAGTATTTTTGGTGTTTATTTGGCTTCTGTTCGTTAGATCCTACAAGTATATGCAACTTAGTACCCTGTTAGTACCCTATTTTCTCTGTGCTTCCATCACTTTTAGGGGTTCTAAAATATCAATGTGTACATTGAGGAACTTTGTTTATTTTCACATTTTGCAGGAAAATGAAACGACCCTAGCTGGAAGGACAAAAAGTGATGCTCGTGAAATGCAGAGTTTCTACCAGCATTACTATAGGAAGTATATTCAGGCTTTGCAGAATGCTGCTGATAAAGCTGATCGGTATATTCAAGGCATACTGAGGCTGCCTATTTTACTTTGCTGTTAGATTTTCTTCATGCTGATTCTGTTTGGCCGTTTCTCTTTGTGCTTTCTTTTAGTGCACGACTTACAAAAGCATACCAAACAGCTGCTGTTCTTTTTGAGGTCTTGAAAGCTGTTAACCTGACAGAAGCTGTGGAAGTGTCTGACGAGGTAGACTAGCATTTGCAAATATGTTTTTCCAATCTATTCAAGTTGCTATAGGTATATAGGGCTCCCAATAACCTCTTTGCCAATAAGAGATATTGTTGTTAGAAGTGGATGTGTTGTGTATATGCCTCAGCTCCTTGTCTATCATCCTGGCTATCCTCTATTTTATATGCATTTCACATGTAGATTTTGGAAGCTCATACAAAGGTTGCCGAGAAGACTGAGATACTAGTTCCGTATAATATACTTCCACTTGATCCTGATAGTTCAAATCAAGCAATTATGAGATATCCCGAGGTTGGGTTCTAGTCCCTTTTCGTGTTTTCTAGACTTTACTTTGATGATGCTTCTGTCATATGCTTTTTCTTACATTTTTCATAGATTCAAGCTACTGTCACTGCTCTTCGCAATACAAGAGGTCTTCCATGGCCAAAAAACCATAAGAAGAAAGTTGATGAAGATATTCTGGACTGGCTTCAAGCTATGTTTGGTTTTCAGGTGCAGTTTTCTACGATATTCTGGGAACACACATCAGATGAGTTATGTAAACATTATGAGTTACTGTGTTTCTCAATGTTATTTTGTAATTGGAATTGACAAGCAGAAAGATAATGTGGCGAATCAGCGGGAGCATCTGATTCTGTTGTTGGCAAATGTTCACATCCGACAATTTCCAAAGCTTGATCAACAACCAAAGGTTATTATTTGTCATCTATTTCATATGAAATAGCACTTTTTATCTCTTTGTTTTTGTTTCTGACTTTGACATCCACATCACTCTCACTAGCTGGATGACCTGGCACTTACTGATGTTATGAAGAAACTTTTCAAAAACTACAAAAAATGGTGCAAGTATCTTGGTCGCAAGAGCAGTCTTTGGTGAGCTAATCTCCTTTTTTATCAATCAGTTGATATTGAGTTGTTTACTAGTACTGGCAGCTTTGTTAATTGATAGCCATGCAGTGGCAAGCTAAGTTGCTCGGACTCTTCACTTTTGGTGCCGCGCCAATGTTGATGTGGCGTGGCTGTCGTATCCATACCGGATTTGGTTAACCGATTTTGGGTTCTTTGACCAAAATCGACAGAGAAATTTGGGACAAATACCTATGATTTCCATAATTTAAAAAAAAAAGCTACGGTGGAACTATAGAAAATGGATAACCTTGTATAGAGAAATTTCTAATTCAGTCCTTTACCTTTTATCTACGTATGGTATTCTCATCAATATTTTCTCTTTGGACTACCTTGTATGTTTTCCACATAATGTCTCATAATTTGACATATAACTCTTTTAGATATTTGAATTATATTTAGCCGAATCCCTGCACGGCCGCACCTGTATCCGTACCCTCAAATCTTAAAGTTTAGATTATGAATGATCCGACATTTATATCTACACCCGTATTGGACACCCGCGCCCGAGTCCAAGTAACTTAGGTTGCAAGTATTATCGTCTACTGGCATGCTGTTATGGACAGTGGTCAAGTTGGGATCTTAAGTAGGTTGGGCAGTTCTAATTGCAATCAATTAACACCAATTATTAATGGAAAGTGAAAACATGAAAAGGTAATAAAAAGTCAAGTGGAGATGGTCAACTCTTGGAGACAAGGCTAACTTTGGTGTTTAATTGATGGGACAGAGAAGAAAGTAAGACCAATTTTGTTTTTATAAAGACTATCGTCATACCAGATTTATTGGGAGCTCACTTAGTAGTATACCTTAATGCATACTTTTCTTCTGATGAAAATCTGAATTTCTTCTATCGTTCCACTCTCAATTGAGACTGGTATGACAAATATCCTTCAAACTATAGCCCTGCCTGTGACTTCTAAATTTTGTCCAGTCTATTAGTTTCACTAATTTTACCTATTTTTGCTTGCAGGCTGCCAACTATCCAGCAAGAAGTGCAACAGCGGAAATTACTATACATGGGTCTTTATCTTCTTATATGGGGAGAAGCTGCAAATTTAAGATTCATGCCTGAGTGCCTATGCTATATTTATCATCATGTATGGAGTAATTGTTTGTATCTTTAAGTGTTTGCCTGTACCTGATTGTGTCAGTTTCTGTTATTTTGTTTTTAGGTTCTAGAACTTGATTTATCTGTTACATCGTGTTATTACTTCTCCGAGACATTGAATCATAATTTCTTTTGGACATCTGTCACAAGTATCTAATTAATCATCATCTCTTACTCAATAGAATATCCAAGGTTGCTAAGTGTATAATAAAAAGAGATCGTGTTACTCATTAATTTTGAAAAGTAGCCATTTTGAGAACTGACACTCGTATCATTATTGAACTTGGCATTTGAATGTTCAAAAATTCAAAATTGTGAGTTCTGTCAGTTAACTTATTTTAGAGAAGTGTTTATTAGTTGAAAGTTAATAGCGATTCTTACAAAATATGTATTTACCCTTATATTGATATTGTATACATATCATTATATACGTAAAAGAGGAGCATCAGACTTGGAATCAGTCGTCATATCTTTATCTTTCATGTCAAAAGACTTCTCCATGAGTGCAGTTTCCGTACTTTCTTATAAGTGTCAAGCTGTTATTTATGAAACTGACTTCATATATCTTATGTTGTTTAGTTTCAGACTTGTTTACCCTATCTGCTGCTTTTACATTTTAGGTTTTCCAGTACATTTACTAGTTGCAAATCTTGATTCAGATGGCATTTGAACTTTACGGTATGCTGGCCGGAAGTGTTAGTCCCATGACAGGCGAAACTATAAAACCTGCTTATGGTGGTTCAGATGAGGCTTTCTTGAGGAAAGTAGTGACTCCCATCTATAACACTATAGCGAAGGTATTTCTCCTGCACTGCAACCCAAAGCAACTAAATTTCTTCTTTTGAGAGCACACCTTTATTTTATTTTACTTTTCTGCCTGAACAAACAGGAAGCTAAAAGGAGCAAAGTAAAGTCAAAACATTCTCAGTGGAGAAACTATGATGATTTAAATGAGTATTTCTGGTATATTCTTTTACTTTATCTGAATCTCCATTCTCTTTTGTAATGTACACTGATGATTTGCATGGCATTGCAGGTCAGTCAATTGCTTCAGGCTGGGCTGGCCAATGCGTGCTGATGCTGATTTCTTCCATCTTCCTCCTGAAGAACTGGCTGATGTAAGTAATATCACCTATTATTTGTCCTTCAGTGTGCTTTCCATTTTCCTTGCAAGAGCTCCTACTATGTGATGATTTTCACACAAACAAAATATCTTCCTATTTTAGGTACTTTTAACTGTCGTAACTGTTAAAAGTGTTTTCTTAGTGAAATTGTTTTATGCCAAAGAGAGAAACTACCTCATCAACAAAAGGTTGGTATGCATGTTCTGTTTCAACCTTGTCTACCTCCACTTAATTGTCTATAGGCTCAGTTCTCTTCTCCCATCAGTGCAGGCTCAATCATCAGCTAGATAATTATCACCCGGTGTTTCCATCCCTCATATAACACTCTCCACCATTATCATATATTCATGACATGTCCTACCTGTTGATTTTCTATCACATTAGATTTTCCTTAATGTTTCCATAACGATGAGGACAAAGTCAACAAACTGTGTATCTAAAGTTAAGCATAATTTTGACAAATATGCTCACGTTATAATCACTGTAGGTAAAGTTCCTAACATGAAATTGCTAAAGAGAAAATGCATAAATTGATCTAGTCAACATGAATATAGGGAGATAATGGATATTGTCTTTGATATTTTCAAACCTAAAGAAGGGGGCACATTAGAACATCCGGAAATTCAGGGAATGTGTGATATTAACCCCTTCATATATGCCTTTGAAAAATGTTATGGTTCTGGTCTGCTATGAATATCTTTAGAGGTTATATAGCACAGGGCCAGTTGTTGTCAAGTAAAGCGCCTGGAGTTCCAGTGTCCTTGAAAACAATGACCTCAAGTCAGACCTTATATGTAATAGTAACCCCTTCAAAGATCGTCTTTTTGATCTAGTGCCAATTGAATTTTCTTTTTCCTCCATTGCATATCTATTAGGACCAAAGACCGACTGACAATGGGTAAATAACTGATATAAAACTTTACTGGGGAGGTGTCGAGAAGATGATAGCTTCGATGATGGCTTCGCGCCTGACAGTAGGCTGTAAAGATAAATCATCGCCTAGAACATAAAAGACAAAGAAGTAAACTAATTTCACCAGAGGTACAGCATGACCAGACTAGATTTTATTTGTCTGTGGTTTTATTCTTGGTGACTAATAGTAAAGAGAAAGAAGTGCTTAAAAAGGGATAATACTAGGTACAAATTATTATATCTTCTCCATTCATGATAAGCTGTAAAGGTATTACTTGTATTCATGAAGTATAAACCAATGTCATCATGTGTGAAGATAGCTAGATAATAAGGAGTTGGCTATTCATTCAGATACTACATTCAGGAAGGTCTTTCTTGAAAGCTGGTTATGATGATAGAGGAAAACCCTTCAACAACATTAAGTATATATTGGGGGGTAGATTCAGTGCTTAAGTAGAAATTTTGTGTAATTTTAGGCATAAGATTAAGGTATCAAACCGTCATAGTGTTGCATGCGGTCCAGTAAACTAGATGAACCCATAGAGCATCGATGAGCTATCAAACATAAAATTAACTAAATTATTTTTCTCTTAGAGGTGGTACATGAGCTTTTCTCTAACATATAATAGCTTGGTCATCTACGAGGAAGTATGCATGACCATTTACACCTGTGTTTGGCAAAAGATATGCTGCTTGTTCTTTATGTGGGAGAACATCTGAACAGTGGTATATATTATTGATTTGGTCATGGTAATGGAGTTTGGCATGATTTCAGTTTTGAGATGATGGAATTTCATTACTTTCTGTTTGCTATTTTTCCCAGTGTTTTACTGTTGAGATTTCATGTAATATCTTTAATCATGTCTTTTGTAATATTGAGTGTTGTTGAAGAGTTCCACATTGGCCTTTTATGAGATGGTGGTTTCTTTATATGGCTCTGGCAATCCTCACCTCTTGAGCTAGCTTTTGGGGTTGAGTTAGGTCCAAGATCCATTTCTTTATATGCTATTAGAGCATAACCCATCCCAATTCTCGTTTCTCAATATTGGGCCCCCATATTAAAAATTGCCCAAGCTCCATATGTCCACACCTGGCCTGAAGGTCTGTGTGTGTTGAAGAGTCCCACATTGGGCTCTTATGGGATGGGTGTTCTTTTTATTTGGCTGGGGCAATCCTCACCTCTTGAACAAACTTTTGGGGTTGAGTTAGGGCCAAGGTCCATTTCTTTACAAGTGCTATTTGAAACAACTAATCTGTTACAATCAAGTGTTGCACATTTAATGTAAATATTGATCATATTCAGGCAAATGAAGCAATCAAAAGGAACCATTGGATGGGGAAAATCAATTTTGTCGAGACACGCTCGTTTTGGCACATCTTTAGGAGTTTTGATAGGATGTGGGGCTTTTTTATTTTATGCTTACAGGTTAGTCTCCCTTTTTCCTTTGTTTTAATATCTTTTCTTTTATTTTCTCATTATTTGTTTGGCATGTAGAGTGTCTTCTGATGCTGGTTTACCTTGTTTACTGAAGGCAATGATCATTATTGCATGGAATGGATCTGGCCATCTTGGTTCTATTTTTGAAGGAGACGTGTTCAAGAGAGTGATGAGCATTTTCATAACAGCCGCCATACTGAAGCTTGCTCAAGGTGAGGATTAATTTTTGCCTAAGACTGGCTAGATTATAATTTAATATTCTTTTAGCTGTTGTTAGTTTCCTCATTTTTTACAATGTTGCTTCTGACAATGTGAAAGTAAATCACTTGGAGGGCATTCGATGGAAGTTGTATGATCCTATCAATATGAAATGTCATATCTCATGATGTGGGGAAGTACTCAACTAGTTTCTGTTTTCAACTGACTTGATGAATATTGTTAAATGAAAAGTTTCTCTAGATCAGTTACATTGAGAAGGCCCTCACTGTTTTGTAATGAAAAAAATGCTCCAACTTGTTTAAACCAATTGTATAACATTGTTAAATGAAAAGTTTCTCAAGATCAGTTACTTTGAGCAGGCCCTCACTGTTTTGTGATAAAAAAAAACATGTTTAAACCAATTGTATAACATTGTTAAATGAACAGTTTATCAAGATCTGTTACATTAAGAAAGCCACCACTGTTTTGTGTTAAGAAAATGCTCCAATTTGTTTAAATCAATTGCATAACGGCAGGACTCTTTTATTCGTAGCATTCTCCCGTGTTTGAGACCAATGGTTAGCACTCGAGATGACTGATCAAAGAGTTTATGAGAAGATTGAAACCTTAAATGAACATGCAATAAGAGAGGCTTGATGTCATCAAAGGCAGAACTGAAATTTTGAGTTTATGGGTTGTGAATTCTAGAAAATGCAGTTTATTGGGTTCTTTATAATTTTTTATGCATACTAAGTATATCTTTTTAAGCTTAATGTTTGAGCCAAACCTATAGGGTTTTGCCTAAACTATAGACATAGCTCTGGGCTCTGGCTCCCCCCTGGATGTCATCATGCTGAGGGATTAAACATGAGTAACATGACTAGTTCCTATGCTTCTAAATTTGAACGTCCACCAATTATTTGTCATATACCTGCAAGTAATGTTGGAACTTTTTAATCTTAGCTAATAGCTAATATCAACAATCAATTATTGATCACATTGGTTAAATATAATTTAACTGATCACAGACTTTGTTGTTCATAACTAATAACTTAAATAAACTAGTGACATTTCAGTGATGTCTACATCTGTCCTGATTTTCTTTGGATTGCTTATATGAGGAAAACACATGTTTCGTTGGGAGTTTATTGGCCTGAATGTCTAAGATATCTCCTTTTTAAAGAAAGAAAATCTGGATAGGTTTCTGAAGAAAAACTTGGATACGTGCTTTAAGTTTTGCAAAGGATGAGAAGCCTCTAGGGATTTTATTGTGAATCAAGCCCTATTATTCATATACTTCGTCTTTATCTGTTTTAAAAAATCATTATAACTATGATTATTTTGTTGGCAATGCTATCTTGTGTATGCAGCGGTTCTGGATATAATCATGAGCTGGAAATCGAGACACAGCATGTCATTCTATGTCAAGCTAAGATATGTGTTTAAAGCTGTTGCAGCAGCAGCATGGGTGGTAGTGTTGCCAGTAACTTATGCATATAGCTGGAAAAATCCTCCAGAATTTGCACAGACTATTAAAAACTGGTTTGGAAATGGTTCAAGTTCGCCTTCTCTATTCATTATAGCAGTTCTTTTTTACCTGTCACCAAACATGCTATCTGCATTGCTGTTTGTTTTCCCTTTCATCCGCCGTTTTCTTGAGAGGTCAGATTACAAGATTGCGAGTTTGGTAATGTGGTGGTCCCAGGTATGCAAACATCTTTATTATTTTAGCTTATTTTTCAGTCTATTTCAAGTTTTTGAGTTCCCTTCTTTGGATATATTCCCTTTCTTCTGGGTGGTCTTTGATCTCATACTTCTAATATAATCTTTATTACAGCCTCGGCTTTATGTTGGAAGAGGCATGCATGAGGATGCATTTTCTCTTTTCAAGTAAGCTACTGCATTGATATTATATAAAAACAACTTTCATTTTGTTCTGCTATTCTTTATGATTGATTATTTTATTGATTGTAATGCTGTTCTTTCCAGATACACACTATTTTGGGTTCTCCTCCTGGCTGCAAAATTGGCATTCAGTTTTTACGTAGAGGTGCTCCCTCATTTCTATTCTGTCATTATGCTCGTTTGACTGCTCTTAATGGGATTTCTATTTTTTCTACTATTTGCTTTGATAGCAAAATACTATTAGAGAACACATGCGTAGATGGAAAAATTCCAAGTATTTAGTTTTTAGAGTTTGTGTATTTTCATCTTACTTTTGAAAGTAATGCAAATAATACCTAACTTCAACATTTACGTGCAAAAACAGTACCTAATTCTAACAGTGTGTCAATTGTTAGAATTAAAAAAAACAACATGCATCTTGCACATGAAGATCTAAAAAAATTCACGTATTTATCCGTTATTGTGTTATAAATTTCATTTGAAGTACTTAAGATTAGTTTTTATTTTTTAATATTATGATAAAATTCATTTCTTCTCTTTTTACGTTTTTATATAGATAATAAGTAAACTTCTATCTCAATTAATTCAGGGTTCTTTAATTTTATTTAAATTTTAAATACTCAGGAAATAAAATATCTCATGCCTGTAAAACTTTTATGTGCTATTTAAACACTGGTATAGTGAAATGAGAAAAGAAAAATCCACCAAGACTAGCTGTTTTACTTCTAAATGTCATGTTGGGCTTCTTTTTGTTTGGCTAATCCTGTTACTTTTTGTCATAAAATGCCACAGAAGTTCTATAAACATGAGATTGTCTTTTGTCTCTTGGGTATTAGAATTAAAGTTTCTGTCACGCCCCGAGCTACCACCGAGACGCGGACACGGGACCTAGGACCACGAGTGATCCCAAGCTAATCCTGCTGGCATAATCTGAGCATACTATAATTAACATGAATAAAAAGAACTGATGCGGAAGCTAAAATCATAAATAAAGAAAAGATGGGGAATACCCATATACTATAATTGAGAGAGTTTAATACAAAAGATATTAACTCATACTAGGCTGAAACTAACTATGTTTGAAAGTAAGCCTCTAAACTGACTAGAAATGTTGGGACATGCCCCAACTAGATCTAGCAAAACTGAAACTAAAAACTGAAAGCAGTAAGGATATCACGTCATTAGATGTGGTGCGCACTACACACCCATGAAAATGAATCTACCTAGTGCGGATTTTCAGACATCCTAGGACACTTAAACCTAGGGCTCTGATACCAAGTTTTTCACACCCTGAGGCTACCCCCGAGACGTGGACACGGGACCTAGGATCACGAGTAACCCCAAGCTAACCCTGCTAGCTTAATCATAAGCATACTAAAGATAAACTGAAGAATAAAACTGTGTGGAAGCTAAATCATAAGAGAAACTGAAAATGATGGGGAATACCCATATACTATAAGAATATATGAAAGCTGAGATTTTAATACAAAAGAGAAATCAAACTCTAAAACTAAAGCTGAAACTAACTATGTTTGAAATAAGACTCTAAACTGACTAGAAATGTTGGGACATGCCCCAACTAGATCTAGCAAAACTGAAACTGAAAACTGAAAGCAGTAAGGATATCATGTCTCTGGTCCTCGGAGGATGAGGACTCACCACTACTAATCTGCTGAGCTGAAAATCGGAAAACGATCTAAGTGCAATCTGGATGTTGAGAGTCTAAGTGCAATCTGGATGCTGAGAGTCTGAACCTACATCACAAGAAGAGGTAGTGCAAAATATGCATCAGTACTGAAAGGTACCGAGTATGAGGATGGAGTGTTGCTGAAATACATATATAACTGACCAAGCAAAAAGCAATGACATATATATGGATATGATAGAATGTCGAAAAATACTAAACATGACTGATATGTATGTAATGACCAACTATGACATGCTGAAACTGAATACTAAACATGGTCAATGCAAATGGAGTCTGACTGATTTGTGGGAGCTACTAATCACCGATAATAAAACCACACGAGCTGAATGTGGAGTCCGATGTATACGCCCCATCGAGAGGACCCAATATACCCTGCTAGAGGTATGAAGGCATGCTGGCCTGATCACTAATCTGTTGCCCATGGAAAGGACTTACAACCTACTTGGCTAGTAGTTCTGGGACTATTTGGGTACGCTAAACCCCAGTCCAACTCGGTATTATGCTACTCCCAATGAATTTAGTAGTAAACTGATTATGACTGATTTTCTGTAATTGTTCTGGATAGCTCAAAACTAGACATGCAAACTGAACGCAACAATTTAAACTGACATTGATGCATAATACTGAGGCATGTATAACTGATTTGTGATAAAGTCTGACCTAACACATGTAATTCAAGAACTAAAGAAATACATAGCTAGGGTTCTG